GCATCACCCCCTCCAGCTCTCTTAGTGCTGAGACTCCTGGGCATCACCCCCCTCCAGCTCTCTTAGTGCTGAGACTCCTGGGCATCACCCCCCTCCAGCTCTCTTAGTGCTGAGACTCCTGAGCATCACCCCCCCTCTCCAGCTCTCTTAGTGCTGAGACTCCTGAGCATCATCCCCCCCACCAGCTCTCTTAGTGCTGAGACTCCTGAGCATCGCCCTGCTATATTAATGCCGACAAGGAAGGGAGGAAGAACCCCCTGGGCTGTGGATCACGTGACATGTGTTTGCTGTACAATCCCAGGAAGTTTGTAAGTTTAGATGAACATTTTGCTTAATTACATCTACAGCTAGCGGTCTAAATTGCTACAGAGCTGAATTTGTGTTTTGTATATTTTTTTGTCAGTGTGTACTTCAGAGTTTTGTTAGAGAGACACTACACATTTGTGTTATTTTATGCTTTGTATTTAAAACTTATTTTTACCTTTTGATATTTTTACTTTGCTCTTTCAGTTTTCACAGTGTTCCGCAGTGGTTCTCAACATTTGTTATCGTGCCAGCTCAGTCGTGATCATATATCAAGTATTGGTTTAAATTAACGCTATGATGAAGCACGCAGTGCACTCTGCAATTTACACCAATCAACGCCTATCGCACATATCCGATTGGACGTGCCAGTGAATTTTAAATTAACCGTCTGTGGTTTGGCATCTTGGATTGGTTAAGTGTTCACTACTTTTGCGCTAAGCATTTGCAAACCCAAGACCATTTTATATAGGTTAATTCTAGGATTGAGGCTGGGTGATAGTGATATGTGATAGTGGATCAGCATAGGAGCTTGCTGGTTTTAAAATGCTTATCCCCAACTCTGCCTTAGAACTTTCTATAACCCAAATTTGGGTCGCGACCCACAGATTGAGAAATGCTGAGGGCAGTACAATAACCCCCCCTCCCCCTCCCTCCCTCCCCGGTTGTGCCCACCCTGTCTTCAGTTTCTGTGACTTGCACTGAGTGCAGGAGTTCTGGGGTTTCTGGCCTGTGTGTGTATGCACATGTGCGTGTGTGTATGTGTGTGATCCCTCCGCTTATCCTATCACGTGCTATGCAGGGTGTGTGAGCTGCGTTGGCGAGTGAATGTTTCTGAAATACCCCAGTTCTGGCAGGGAGCTTGGGGTGTGTATCAACGGGAGCTGAACACTCAGCCGGCAGCGTTTAAAAGCGGGGCCGTATCAGCGTGCCCCCCCACCCCCCCGTCAGCCTGATGTCCTGAGTCCTGTGTCAGCCGTCAATTTCTTGACTGGGAGTTAAGCCAGGCTGCCGGGGTGTTGAGCTGAGAAAAGTGTGTTTGAGTCTGAAGTGGGTGGGGGGGGGTGGCATTTCAGATTAACTGGGAATTTGCATGCTGGGTTTAGGTTGGCTTACGAGTTCACTTCCAGGCGGAGTGACCTGCCTCTTGACTTATTTAGTTTAAATGCAGGCAGCTTGGAGCTTGGGGTCCTGGAGCAAGTGAAAATGCTGCCCCTGTGTGCCAGGTTCACCCCTGTACCTTCACTGCAGCCACACTCTTTATTGTTCTGGAATCAGGGCTTTAGCAGTGACTGTGTAAGGTGCTGCCTTTCCTGTCACCTACCTGTCACACATCAGCCTCAGGCAGCTCTCCTGCTACCATCGTGGGGCCGTCCCTAGAGTGGGGGCCGCCACAGAATGGAGGAGCTGATGCTGCCATGATTATTCAGGAAACCGGGAGCTGAGAGGGGAGCATGAGCTTGCGGGGGGGATTTGGCGTCTCCTGTCTCTGTTTCTGAAGCTGGGAGGCCTGGATGATGATTTAATTATGCAGCTGCTGTTCCTGGTTCTGAAGCTGGGAGGGATGGATGATGATGTAATTATGCAGCTGCTGTCCCTGGTTCTGAAGCTGGAGGGACCTGGATGATGATGTAATTATGCAGCTGCTGTCCCTGGTTCTGAAGCTGGAGGGACCTGGATGATGATGTAATTATGCAGTTGCTGTTCCTGGTTCTGAAGCTGGGAGGCCTGGATGATGATATAATTATGCAGCTGCTGTTCCTGGTTTTGAAGCTGGAGAATCCTGGATGATGATGTAATTATGTGGCTGCTATTCCTGGTTCTGAAGCTGGAGAGGCCTGGGTGATGATGTAATTATGAAGCTGCTGTTCCTGGTTCTGAAACTGGGAGGACTGCTGATGAAGTAATTTATACACGTACTATTTCTGGTGCTGAAGCCTGGAGTTTGTGTAATTTTGTAGTTGCTGTCTGTGGATCTGAGGCCTGGTTGGTATAATTTTGCAGCTGCTGTCCCTAGTTTTGAGGCCTACTTGATGTAATTGTGCCGGTTCAGTCCCTGGTGCTGTAACTGAGGCTGTGGTGTGGGAGCCCTTATGGTGGTGAGCTTGCCGGGGCTGCTGTTCTCCATCCTGACACAGCCTTATATGACGGTTCTGTGCTGTCCCAAGCGCAGGCAGGACCTCCTGCCCCCGGGGGAAGCAGGGCCATTGATGGGCAGCTGGGGATTATGAGGTGCCATCACAGCATCGAGCTCCTGATCCGCGGACTACCGATTGCCACTCGCTATGTGGCATGGGTTGGCCGACCTGTCCTGACCCGTGCAGGAACACCCGGGGTGATAAATACGTTTGAAGTGTGACAGCCGTGCCTGGTGGTATGACAGAGTGCTCTGCGGGGTGACGGTGGAGCATCCGCTGGCTCCGTTTGCCTTGTGCCCCCAGCACCCCCTAACCACACTCTGCCTTCTCACCCCCTCCAGTTGTCCTGCTGAACTCAAAGGAATCCCAGGCAGAGCTGGGTTGGACGTCTTATCCCGCAAATGGGGTGAGTATTCGACACAGCCTCTGTATTATGCACATTGTCTGTGTGTTCGTGTCTGTGTGTGTCTTTGTGTGTGTGTGGTGCATTTCAGTGAATACTTTAAATTTATTTCCAGGGTACTTTAATATTTTAACCTTATTTTGAGGAAGGTCAGGATCCCCTGCATGTCCAGTGCATGCATACTTGCATGAGCCTCAGCTGCATTCTGCATGCCTGTGGCTGCATGTGCTCTCGGCCCGCGTGTTGCGCGGTCGTGTGACCTTGCAGCCGAGAGCCGACCCACTTAATGGCTTGGGCTCAGTTCCAGCGCACACTCCCCCGGGATAAGCCCAGACCCCTCCCCTCCCAGATACACCCATTGCGTTAATGAAGAGCCGAGGTAATCCCTGGGATCAGATCACACATCTTACAGTCGATGTCAGAGCTCGGGACAGAAAGTACTGCGATCTGGATCAGAGGGCTGCAGGTGGATAACCAAGCGGTCCCATTACGCCCCATCATTACGCATCGGCCACGCCACTGTTCCCATTATACTGCAGACCTGCTGCTGCCGCGCTTTTTCTCGTTCTGCAAGCTGTTATTTATTTGCCTTCTTAATTCAGGACGCGGTGCTGATTAAATTCAGGCTGCCGAATTCCCCAGCTGCTGTGACTGCAGCTGTGAGCTTTCGCTGTCGGTGCAGGGGCAGCCAACACGTCCCCTCGCCTCCTGTGGGGCACGCTACCCCCCCCCCGCCCCCCCAGTGCCGTGTGCTACTAATAACCCACCTGAAGGTCTTCCTGCAATTCCTGTTGTCTCTGTAGAGGCACTTGTGTGAGATGCAAACCAGAATAAAGTAGGCAGTTTCAGAGGCGTTGTGTGACTCCCCCGTGTCCCTGCTGGCCTTGCCCCTTTACCTCCGGTCTTCCATCCATCCCGTGGTTCGGCCTCTTCCTGCTACTCTCCATTTAACCTCAGATTCTTGTGGCTTTTCACTTTTTGCTGCATTTCTCCTCCTGACACCTTTCCTCTCTCTCCATCCTCCCATCACCACGACTCCCCGTCCGCCCCTTCTCTCTCCATCTCTGCATTTCTCCCCTTTTCCCACCTGTCCTCCTCCTCTCTCCATCTGTCATGTCCTCCCCCAGTGGGAAGAGATCAGCGGTGTGGACGAGAAGTACAAGCCCATCAGGACGTACCAGGTGTGCAACGTGATGGAGCCCAACCAGAACAACTGGCTGCAGACGGGTTGGATCAGGCGCCAAGGTGGCCAGCGCATCTTCATCGAGCTGCAGTTTACGCTGCGTGACTGCAACAGCATCCCGGGGGTGGCCGGTACCTGCAAGGAGACCTTCAACCTGTTGTATGCTGAGTCTGACCTGGACCTGGGTCAGGTGACCCGCGAGGACCGCTACACCAAGATCGACACCATCGCCGCTGACGAGAGCTTCACACAGGGCGACTTGGGCGAGCGCAAGATGAAACTCAACACGGAGGTGCGGGAGATCTGGCAGCTCAGCCGGCGCGGCTTCCACTTGGCCTTCCAGGACGTGGGCGCCTGCGTTGCCCTGGTGGCCGTTCGCGTGTACTACAAGCGATGCCCGTCCACCGTGCAGAGCCTGGCCGTGTTCCCCGATACGGTGGCGGAGGCAGCGTTCGCCACGCTGGTCGAAGTGCGTGGCGTCTGCGTCAACAACTCGGAGGTGGACCCCGACAGCGCTCCCAGGATGCACTGCAGCGCTGAGGGCGAGTGGCTCGTCCCCATCGGGAAGTGCAGCTGCAGTGCTGGGTTCGAGGAGGGCCACAGCAGCTGCGAAGGTAAGGGCCTCGTTTGTGGAAAGTGCTGGATGTAGCGGTTATGCAGCAGATACTGAGCATCATTAAGTTTCTCTGATAAAGATGCTGCTCCAGTTTGCAGCATGAATGACATGTAGAGAGGCCACCTCCATCGTCACTGCTCCGACTGCCCGTCACCCTGCTCAGATACAGCCCCCCTGTAACGTGGCAGGCTCAGGGTCAGGGGGGGCACTGAACTCGCAGTGGAGATCCTTGGTAGCTACTCTGCTAGGGCTGTTGGAGGCGTTGTCGTGGGAAACGGCGTGGCTGAGTGGCCATAACAGACATTACAGGCTGACGCACACACAGACACCTGCTCACTGTACAGGAGGAGAAGGTAGGAATTAAAACCACAGTGTGTGTCGCCCACACACTGGATTACAGAGGGAAACGGTGGGCGATGGACAGGCTTCACACAGGAATGACAATGTATGCGCAGCCGCTCCTGACCGCCCCCCACGCAACCTGAACACGCAGCCATCCCTTTACTGCCCCCTGCACAGCCTGAACACACGGCTGCCCCTGACCGCCCCCCACGCATCCTGAACACGCAACCATTCCTTTACTGCCCCCTGCACAGCCTGAACACACGGCTGCCCCTGACCGCCCCCCACTCAACCTGAACACGCAGCCATTCCTTTACTGCGCTGGGCCCCGTGTATCTGACCGCTGCGTTGTCCTCAGATAGCCTCATTAGGAGCTGCATTAAGTGACATTCATCTCTGTATTATTACGCTGTTGCTTGGCTTGAGACTTCATTTCAGTCTCGGGGGATGATGTGATGGATGGACTGAACCGCAGGGGGGGCTTGGGGGGGTCTGCAGCCACAGCGGCACCAGCAGTCCTCTATCCCTGTCTCTCTCCCTTTCTCCATGTCTCTGCCACTTTATCCCTCACTCTCCCTCTCTCTTCATCCTTCCTTTATCCCTCTTTCCCTCTCTTCATGTCTCTGCCACTGTATCCCTCTCTCCCTTTATTTCCCCCTCCCTCTATCTGTCTCACCCGCTCTCCTTCTCTCCTGCTTTATGCCTGTCTCCCTCTCCCTCCCTCTCTCCCCATCTTTCCCTGTTCTCCCCCTCTCTCTCTCTCCTGCTTATGCCTCTTACTTCTCCTCTACCGCTCACTCTCTCCCATCTCTCCTCCCGCTGTCCCCTCTCTCTCTCTCTCCTGCCTGATTCATCCCTCTCCACCTCTGTCTCTCCCTCTCTCACCATCTTTCCACTATCTCCCCTTTCTCCTGCTTTATCCCTCTTTCTTTTGTTTTATCTTTTTATTTTTGTTGTTTTTTGTTTTTCCTCATTTTTTCATCAATTTTTTTGAGTAAGGATTAATTGTGCATATGTGATAATAAAGAAATTTTTTAAAGTCAAAAGTCTATCCCTAGGGTGACCAGATAATCCATGTCAGGGAGGACACTTTGAGCTACTTCAGGTTTTACAAACTACTTTCAAACGGAAAGGCTCCTGTGCTCGGCTAAATAGTTCAGCTCTTCTTGTGCTTTGACTGGTTTGTTTCCTTGACTGAAAGCCCCCCACTCTCCCTCTCTTTCTCCTACTCTATCCTTCTTTCTCTCCCTCTCCCCATCTCTGCCCCGCTCTCCCGCTCTTTCTCCTACTCTATCCTTCTTCCTCTCCCTCTCCCGTCTCTCCCCTGCTCTCCCTCTCTCTCTCCTGCTCTATCCCTCTTTCTCTCCCTCTCTCTCTGTCTCTCCCCGACTCTCCCCCCCTCTCTCCTGCTTTATCTCTCTCTCTCTCCTTCTATCTCCCCCTGCCTCCCATGCTCTCCCCCCTCTCTGTGTTAGGGCTGCGTTCGCCGCCGGTGACATGAGTATGCGGCAGCAGGCCAGTCTCTCCCCGAGCTGTGTCACTATCGATCAGCGGTAATGCTCCGCTAAACTGTGGCATTAGACAGGACTCAGCCTGCTCCTTCCCTGCGGACGCCAGCGTTCATGGCTCGTGTGTCTAACTACACGTGTAGGAGTCTGTCTGTCTGCGCCTGGCAGCTTAGGTGGTTGTGGCTGACTGTCAGTGAGACACTTTACGCTCTGCTTTTGCACCCTTAATGTAACGAACTAGACCAGAAGCCTTCTCTTTGGGAGGGAGGAGTTCATTTCCATGTGATGCTCTCTGATGCAGCAGATGTGTCATGCACAGCGTTCTCAACCTCCTACTAATTTGTGTGTGATACTGGTCTTTTTACAGAGTCTAAGGCAATTAGTCAGTCGGAAACCACAAGATGATAATTCAGGAACCAGATGACAACTTGCTTTCTTGATAATTTCGCCTTTTTGACACCTTGAATTCTCAGCCCTTGTTGGCTGCTAGTGTGTCGGTGTGGTGCAGTGCTTTGGCTATTGGTCACTCTGGGGTGACAGTCATTCCCTGATTACCATAATTGTCATTTGCTTGGTAACAGGAGGTCACATGTATTGTGTGCTACAGATGTTTTGTGTGTGTGTGTGTGTCTGCTTTCTGTAGTAGGTCTCTGAGCATGTATGAGTGTGGGGCCGTCTGCCCATGCGTTGGAATAAGCCCCCCCCCGGATCACAGGTTGCGAAAGCGGCACTCTGTAAATGCGGGCTGGAATGAGAGGCCAGGGGGGCAGAGCCAGTGACCCCATAGATCCAGTTAACGTGTGCTGAGTGACATGCCCCTCGCATACACTCCCCCCCCTGCCAGCATGCCTTTTGGTTGTGAGTGTGGGCCTCAGGTCCAGGCCGCCGCTCTCAGCTTCTAGTCGCCTCCTACTGGTCGCGTCTCACCATTCCCCTTTATGGTGGCACGATGTGGCAGAGTGCACTGGTGTTATTGGGGTGGCTGATGTTTGCTTTGTTTTTCTTTGGGGGTGTGAGATTAGGTTTACCTTGAAGTCTGAGTGGCATGCCAGTGCATCCAGTTCATCAGGAAACACCGGGTCTGTCCTCTGTCCTGGAATCTAGAGCTGGGCACCGGAGCGGGAAAGAGGGAGTGAGGGAGAGAATGAGAGGGAGGGGAAAAGGGAGAAGGGGAAAGAGGGAATGAGGGAGAGAGAAGAAAAAGGAGAGAGATAGGGAGGAAGGGGGAGGAAGGGAAAGGATGGAGAGGGGGAGGGGGAGAGATGGAGAGAGAGAATCGGGGAGAGAGGGAAGGAAAGAGAGAGAGAGAGCATGAAGCTCGCTGGTATCAGTCTGAGTGGTAGACATCTGTCTAATCGGAGTCATGCTGTCCTGTGACGCCTCTGTTGCGGGGGGGTAGCTGCAGAAGCATGTGTGAATGAGTGTGTTCACCTGCTCGTTCTCATTTGTAACCACGTGTGGAGCATTTTACACTTTGCATCCTGCCCTAGAGCCTCACCACCATATGTGTAACTCCCCGGCGGCGGTGGCGCATGGGGGGGTGATCCCCCCCCCCATGCCGCACTGCCAGGCCGGCCGCCTTCCCGCCTTTTTAATTAAAGGTGGTGGCGTGGCTTGCTGAGCTTTAATTATAGGCAGGCTGTCCCCTGCCCCCCCCCCCATTGTCTGCCGGCGCGAGGAGGGAGGCCCCCAACTGTACCGGCGTGAGGAGGGAGGCCCCCAACTGTACCGGCGTGAGGAGGGAGGCCCCCAACTGTACCGGCGTGAGGAGGGAGGCCCCCAACTGTACCGGCGTGAGGAGGGAGGCCCCCAACTGTACCGGCGTGAGGAGAGAGGCCCCCAACTGTACCGGCGTGAGGAGGAAGGCCCCCATCTCTGCCGGCGCTAGGAGGGAGGCCCCCAACTGTACCGGCGTGAGGAGGGAGGCCCCCAACTGTACCGGCACGAGGAGGGAGGCCCCCAACTGTACCGGCGCTAGGAGGGAGGCCCCTGTCCCTGGCTGTGCTCAGTGGCCCCATGTCCTGTGCTGCCTGCCCTTTATACGGGCCCCCTCACATGCCTTGCCCAGGCCCCTGGGGAGGGACTCTAACCCTGGAGGGGAGGTGGCTTATGCTCAGTCCCATTTCATTGCTGCCGCTGGCTTGTCTAGCTGTTTGGGTCTCCCTGGTGTTACTCTTCCTCATTTTGTTCTTCTCCTCCCTCCCCCCCTTGTCACCCTCACCCATCCTGTACCTGCAGCCCCCTCCCTATGCAACAAGCCTCCGTATGTCTTGTGCGCCCTGGAGACGGCAAGCACCTTGTGTCCCAGACTCCCAGCCAGTGCCGGGGGCTGTAATGTACTCATCTGTGCCTCCTCTGCGTCAGGACCTGAACTCCCCAGCGCTGTCCCGGCAGTGGGAGTTTGCCGCACTGGTGAAATGCAGGAGGGTCAAGCCTGAGAGAAACCCCATCTCCTGCTCTTTCCCGGGACTGGCCTGGGGACATGGCCACTTGGGTGGGAAAAGTCCCTCATGGAAGCTGCTGTCCCACAGAAGGCTCCACACTGAGAGCTTCTGAGGAACAAATTTGTAGAGAAACCCTTTGGTTAATGGTACCTCCAATGCATTTACCGAGGCCCAGAAGGGGACCTCGTGCTGATCAGTGTTTAACTGGAATACCCTTCTCTTTTAGCTTAGGCAGCCTCGCCGTCTCTGCCCGGGGCTGACCTTCTGGTGGATTCTGTCTTCATTAAAGGAATGGGCTTATAACAGGGACACATGGATTTTTTAAGGGGGGGGAGACACTATTGTGTATGTGTGCATGTGGATGTGTGCGTGTGAGTTTGTATTTGCCTCATTGTGGGGACCAAATGTCATTTTGACATTTTCGGTCCTCATAAGGGGAAACTGGGGGCGGCACGGTGGTGCAGTGGTTAGCACTGCTGCCTCACACCTCTGGGACGCGGGTTACATGTGTGTGGAGTTTGCATGTTCTCCCCATGTCATCGTGGGGTTTCCTCCAGGTTCTCTGGTTTCCCCCCACAGTCCAAAGACATGCTGAGGCTGATTGGAGTTATTACAATTACCCATAGGTGTGCATGTGTGAGTGAATGGTGTGTGAGTGAATGGTGTGTAAGTGAATGGTGTGTGAGTGTGCCCTGTGATGGGCT